AAATGTGATTAAACCAAATTAAATTCAGAAGCTGCTTTTTGTAGATGAGGGTTCTAAGTATGATTTTTATTCCTTTCATACTCCCACTGTATTTTTTCCGTCATGCTGCAGTCTGATTATTGTGCATGATGAGGAAATGGTGTCAGCTTTTTAAGAACTGTAGAAAATGGCCATTAACTTTGAAGGCAGAAAGCTTCAGCAGCTCTTACTCTTCGCAGAGTGGCTTCTTTCCAGCACTGTGGTTTCAATAGTCTTTAATTCAAAGCTCCTTGTCTAAAATATACGCAGACCAGGGCTTCCAGTTAGGTGCACAGCAGGGGCTATCAAGACAAGCCTTCTACTCCTTTTTAAAGAAATACAATACAAAGGAAATCTTAGGGAAAAAAATTGTTTTCATTGCAAATTGGAAATTTATCTGTTATCGTTTAGCATCAGCACTAAAGTAAGGTATAGTTAATAACTAATTATAATATTATTCTACCTCAGTTCCAGTGGGCCTTCTATGACCATATATTATCATCCTCTGATGTGAATTTTGTGTTTAAACATTGCTGTTCTATTAACTGTCATTCACCTTTTTCCAAGGGACACACTGTGTGCAATATAGCCACTGAAAAACTCAGAAGGCAACAGAACATGCTTTTCACTTTGTCTACAAACCACATGAGCAACTCATTCATGGTGAGCTCTTGCTTAAACAAATTCCTATTGCGGATCACAGCAGAGTGTTCTTATTAGCTTACAACGAACAGCTAATAGCAATTTTCAATCAGTGTGTCAGGCAAAAGGCTGCTGTGCAAGATGTAAGAATAGCATTTGTGTTCTAATGGCAGCAGTGAAGCTTACATGTACTGTATATGTCCATTAAAATTACAAATAGTAGCTTGGCTTGCTTATATTGCAATAATTTCCTTTGTAGATAACAGAGCAAATGTTATCAGTGCTTTTTTAGGAATAAGTTAAATTTTAGAAATTATTTCACTCTGGTAGTAGCAACAAATGCCGTGAAAAGTGTTTCAATTGTTAGCTGAGTTTTTTTGTGCTTCCAGCCAAAACAACATTTCCATTTTCAAGATTTGTTAAAAAATACTTAATGGAATTCAACCATACCAATACAATAGATCAGTGTAATTTGAAGACATAAGCAGCACTGTTTGCAAAATATGTTTTTTTAAGGCATTATTAATTTCAAAAACTATTATGGGTATGCTCCAAAAACTCTCATGATTCCTGAGTTTTATACTATATAAATCAATAGTACCTTTTAGATGATAAAGTTTGAACATAATTTTTTCATATCAGTTTCTGATAAGAAGCTTATAAACTTAAAAAGATCCAGCAGTTTTTTACAGAATGTTTTTAATGGTTGTATTTCTTGTCAAAGCATTGCCCACAGTCCTGCTTGAGACCAATATGGTTTAATAATTAATACTATATTCAGTGGAATATATGTAAATGTAATTGTAAATGTAAATGTGTATCTGTAGAGATACACCTCAGGTGTGGATTTTTTCATGCAGTTGTAAAGTTGTTTGATAAAAAATAAAGAATTGACAGCAAACATTGTTTTGTCTAATATTATGGAAACTGAAAACCTATAGCAATAAAAGGAAGCGCAGAAGTACAATATTTATCTTACAGAAAGATCGGCCCATAAGTTTGAGAAAGTACAGTTGGTTTATTTTCCACTATTTTGTAATTATTAGATCTTTGTAATATTGTGGAATTGAATATTGAGTCTGTTTTAAAAATAGTAAAGTACTTTGCTGAGATCTTTCAGATTGGTAGGATTGCAAATTTAAATTCTTAGATCTATTTCTTAAGAACCAAAAGAACAAAATTAAATGACAGGTACTTTACATGGATACAAAATCTCAAAGCATATTTTCCTTAAAAAAAATACTTGCTTTGAAGCTTTAAATTACAGTTTATAATTCCAAAAGTTTTAACTGGTACGATATGTTTAGTAACAAATACAAGAAGATAGCCAAGTGAGTTTTTTCTTGCTTGCTTTCCAACAGGCTAAGTAGCAATACATATATAAAATAGGAACTTGTCTATTTCTTAAACATTGATTCTTAAAGGTTTATTTTAAACCACATTAGTTTCTTTAACTAATTTACCCCTATGTATCTCTACCAGAAATATCTTGTTTACAGATATCCACAAGTTAGAAGGCATTCTCTAAAACACAGCACTGAAAGGCAAGCTCAAGGGTGATTCTCTAAGTTTCTGAAAACTTGATTAAAACTCTAGAAGTATATGAAAAAATTACCAATGTTATAAAGAAGGCAAGGAGTCATCCTAATACACCAGTTTCTTACAGACTTTTGAAACAATGCAACGGCCTGGAAAATCTACATTCTAAAACATTTCTTTCTGAGACCCTTTTGACATACTTCTGATGTATCCTGGGGTCACTGGCTGTTTCAGATCTTTCAACATCAGACAACCTCACCCAGGCAACCCAAATGAGGCTGATCAGACCCATACCTGCATCCACGTAGCACTACCCTGAACCCATGTGGCAATTTATCCTGATTCAGAGCCATCATTATACTTTTTCTGCAGCCACACTGGCAGCTGTGATGGCCTTCCTCCTCTGTCCACCTGTGATGTCCAGCACACTATAGGACATATAGGACATACAGTATTTAGGAATTTCCCTACAAAGACTCTTCAATGGGCATGCACCTTGCTCTCTATCCCTTCGAACAGCACTGCTCCACCAGGTCTACATGCTGTACTTGGTCCTCTTCCTTTCATTGGCCTAATCTGTGTGTTTTTTCCACGGGACCTTAAGATCCACCAAGATGACTTGTTTGGATGTTTCAGATAGCAGGATGATGTCCCTGATGAGGCAAGTCTTTGTGATGGTGACTGAAACCCAGAGTTGCCTTCCTAAGTCAGCCATCAACTGCCAGTCTCACACCATAATCAGTAGTCCTGTACTAGCTCTGTCTCTCCCCTGCCTTGACAAAAGCACCAGCAATAGCAGCCCTCACCTAACATTCTTGTATCCTGTAGTATTCTTTGCTCTCTACACCAGATTGCTCTTCTTTGAGCTCATGAAGCACCTTGGAAAAAACATCAAATGACTATGACTACAGGATTCTTACCAATGCAGTCTACCAATAGGTAAATTCAGTTAGCTATTTCATATGCTGTTTTTGGATTGTTTTTGCTTTATTTTCTGGAATTTTATTGAAGTCTCATATTTTACCATCTTTTTGAAATAATTTATCTTGACCTTGAAAGTAAAATTGTAATAGGATTTTGTTTTTCAAAATCAAAACCATATTACATCATAGCTTTAAATGTATTTTGTATGTTAGCTCTAGACAGAACCAGGTGGCAAAAACCTTAGTTCTGAGAGCACTTTTGATGCTGCAACCCAAACATCACTGGCCGTTCACTATTTTGGATGACAGACTTATATATAGCTAATGTGAGCTTAAAGTCTGCAAAGATTTTAATGAATCAACAGCAGCCACTGTAGCTGCTCAGGATTCTACAAGCTTGAAATTATCACAAGCAAAAGCTGTGTGAAGTCTTCTGTCTGGCTCCTTAGGTTTTCAGTTTCAGCTATGAAACATTGGTGAGAAAAGGAGCAGATGGTCTGGCAGTACACATTTAATAGGGTACTTGTATGTCATCTTCTTCTGTTTTGTGCTATTATGAGACTTGTACCTTTAAGCAGAGTTCAATAACAATTAGCATTTTACAGTTTAATATAAAGTAAAAAACAATTGCAATGAATGTTTGTCTTATGTATTATTTTGTGTTTGCAATGCCCACTGTTAATCATGATTGAATATTCTGTAATGTACTAAGATAATTACTGTGGTGAAGATTAGTATACAGCCCAAGGCCTGTGATTAAAGTAACAGGCCAGTCCCAAATGGATATTACTGTAGGGCCCATAAAGCCTAAAGGAGACTAAATGTCAATGTTTGAATTAGAAAACATTATGTCAAAAACATGGAAGATTACATTTTCAGAAAAAAATCAACCCTATTGCACAAACTTAATGGTGTTTGTAATTTTGCTCATCTTTATAAGAACAGAAATAAGGAAAGGCATTTCTGAACAAAATTAATGTATGCATATCTGTGATAATTGACACTATTAAGACCACCTTTTCTATGCTGAACTCTTTAATAAAACAGTGAAAAAAGCAAGTTTTGGTTCTGTAGAAAAAAAAACGTTTTATAAGATCCTATAATATGCTACTTAATGGAACATGAAAAGACACAGGCAATGCACAGTACTCATCAAGTAACGTTATGCTTAACCGTTATACTTAACAACAACCTATTTTTTAAGATATAAAATACTTAATGTAAACTCAAAACATAACATTTTAATATTACCTTTTTACTACGATCTCTACTTAAGGTTTTTCGTAAATAGGTCAATGCTGAATTGCTCAACACGTAACAAAGCCATCCAGGTGACTGGTCCAAACCGCAATGCCTTTCTTCCTATTTCAGTATTTAAGTGTGAAATGAAACCAAGAACAATAGAAAAGATGTTCGGTATCAGAGCTACATGTTTACATTGGCGAAACTATTGTAGTGAAATAAAACTTCAAAGTGTTAAATTAAAATTTAGCTTGCCAACACTAGCCGGTTTCAAGATTGCTATATATGAAAATGATTACATACTGTATGAGAAACACAACACTAAAAAGATAACCGCGGAAATTCCATGGTTCATTTTTGTTTTAGAATTCTTAGCGTGAACCCCGCAACTCGTGCACCCATTTAAACTCAAGCAAGCCAGGTCAGCGAAATTAATTTTCGAATAATTACCAACTACATTTTCCTAGAGCTAGTTTTCGTACTCCTGCGAGAATGGAGCTCTCTTCATTGCTCAGATAATGTTCCTGTTTCGTAATGGGTGAAACAGGGCACTTGCATATTTTCTCGAAAGGCGTTACTGCAGCCTTGAAGCTTGAAGCCTGGTCTTTGGCTGATCTCCAAGCTCGATTGGTTGTAAGGCTGCATATTGTGCAGTTCTACAGTACCTACAGACAGTGCACTGCACACACACTGTATCCGCGCAGATCGAGAGAGACTGGCTGGCACTGACAAGTCAAGAACACGAGAAACCAAACCGGAATTTATCAACTAAAATTATCGACACGACTCTGGACGTTGCACTTAAGGAAAACAACAATGTATAGTCAGAAATAAGTCGGATATTTTTGCACATCGATTTGCAGTGACATTTTGTGAATAATTTCTTGTTTTATATGTCTGTTCCAGTTGGGGTATGTCATGACAGCTATTGATATCAAGTCCTGTCGCTTTTTGCAGACGCTCTAATTGAAAGAGAAAAAACGGTGAGTAGCTTCTCTTTGTATTGTCTCCTCTTAAAGGGAAGGAATTAAAGCTACGTATTCTCGAGAAAGAATTTAGTATCTGATTTATTTCTTAATGCTTTTACATACAGAGAGATGTTTTGCTTTTGTGTTGTTTTGGGTTTACAACGGCTATACGAAGTCATTACGGACTCAAGTCTTTAAAATACAGCATTGCACTGAATGGAAATCCGGAGACGTCGGCTGCTTTAAAGGGAAAGGCTGTTTGTATGCCGAGACCCCTTCCAAAAGGCCCGTTTCTTTGAGTTTTATTGCTTGAAAACATTAGGAAGGAAATAAAGTGTAACAACGTGTAGGGCAGGAACGACTTGTCCACAAAGATGGATGCAGAAACTCTTTCCGACGACCGATGTTTAATTGAAGCAATTATTTATGGCAAACATGAATCCCAAAGACAATGCCCAGACTGGAGAAATAGGCAAATGTGCGCATCTAGTCAAGTAGCTTCAGGTCTTAACGGAAAACGCTTAACTGGAACTTACGTGTTTCTTAGGCGGTCTTAACTTAAATACGTTGTTTTAAATGATGATCAATAAATTAGCTCTTCACAATTAATATTTATTCTTTAGTAGTAATTTATTCTGCTAAAATAGGTCATGACTGTGAATTACAAAAAGTTAAAATCGTATTTCTAGTCAAACACCCATGAATGTTTAGAAAGTTAAAATTAAATTGTTCAAGGATGCTTCGATTGGATGTCTTTAATTTTTCTTTTTACGAGTACTTTGTAGTATCTATAACCTATAAGAGTTTGTGGTGTAGCAATTTTCAGCTTCCTTCTTATATCAATTGTAGTTACATTGTGTGCTTTAACTCCACTGGTTTACAGTGCTCTTGCGGTTCCACGCAGATGAACGGGGTTTCCTGACACCTGTGCACTTCGCACTTTGCTCTGAGGGTTTCGTTTTTACGATGGGACACCCACCATATATTGGTCAACGCCGGTGTGTACAAAAGCACATAAACCATACTGATAATAATTTTAAAGTATTTTAAAGTAATAGTTTATTGCTATTAAAATGACAGCAGCGATATATTCTCAACTATGCTATCAACTGTCTCCATATACACTATAGATATACTCAGTGCATAAAAGATTGAAGGCTTGCCATATTGTTACTGCAAAAAATAACTTTCCGATTCTCAAACAGGGGCAATACAAGTTTGTGGTAAAAACTAACAATAACAACAACTTGTTTTATTAATTTACTGTTAAAACAGTTGTTGAATGTGAATGTGTTGCTGTGTGATAATTACATTTTTTCAAAATAAAAATGTTGTGTGCCTTTGGCACATCACATTGACATAAGTAATCATTAGGGATAGCCTTTGTCACTTGTTTCATTGTACATATAGGTTATAAAACTGAGCTATCTGACCTCTTTGGCTAAATAAAGAATATTTTTCAACAATGTGAACTGTTCCGACTAAATTAATAGGATCACTACTCGGCAGTAGAGTTCACAGACGTCTAAAATAGTGCAATTTATCTGAGTGTTAGTCAGAGTAATTAGTCTTGAGTGTCTGTTTATATGGAGTTTGTTCTTTGAAAGTTTGCATATGATTACCAGGTGGTGCTCCAATTTCCTCCAGTCCCCTAAAGCCATGTTGGCTAGATTTGATCTGTGTTATTAAAAACAGTCTCTTTATCGATGGCCCTGTTATGGTTGATCGTGTCTAGGGGGAGAGCAGTTGTGTGATCTCAGCCTTCAGCCCTATGTTTCAGCAATAAGCTGTGACTCTGGGAGCACAGTGGTGCAGTAACATTGCTTGATTGCAGCTCTTGGGCCCTGTGTTCAATTCTGGATCTGGTGTTTTATCTGCGTGTACTTTGTATGTTCTCTCTGTGTTTGTGGGGGATTCCTACTGTTGCTTTGGTTTCCTCTCAAAATCCAAAATTTGCCCTGTGATGGACTGGTGGCCCATCTAGGGTGTACCCTGACTTGTACTCATTGATTGCAGGGATAGGGTGGTGGGGGAGCTGGAACCTGTACTGGTTAGACGATGAATGGATGTTTTGATCATCACTGGGTTTAAGGTAGTTACTGAAGATGGAGGTTTCCTGACAAAAAGATCAAAAGATCTGTTTAGGAGCTCCTTGTCCCTTATTATGAACTGTACAGTGTCAATGAAAGAAAGAGTAAAAACCATGAGGCTAAATGGTATAAAAAATTGTATAATTATTACAGTATTTAGGCATACAGCTCCAAGAAAAAAATTGTGATTCCAAATATACAGTACTTAAGGGAATTACAATTTCTAATGATGTTACCCTTGATTGTGACCAGTAACAGTGTTAGAAGACAACTGATCAGGTGACAGTTTAAAAAGCAACAAGCAAAGACTTCCTACTTTCGGTTGGTTATATCGGCTGCTTGGAGGAAAAAGAACAGTTTCTCTTTGTGCAACTTCACCAGAAGGAAAAGAAGTGACAGACCAAGTAACTGCGACTGTGAGCTGAAGAAACATCCTGATGCAACACACAGAGCAGCAACAGTTTTAGAGTCCCATACAATTATTTTTTCCAAACTGTAAATGGGATTAATGTGGGCCTTATTATACGATAAAGTAGACAACTTTATTCTATTTCCTAGGTTTTAAAATGTTCTTAAAGGCAATTATATAATCTTTTCAGCAATTAGCAATGTAAAATCTTAGTTAAATTGAGTAAGTACCCAAATTAGGTATTCAGGAGTTCAAAAGGGACTGGAAGAAAAACCAAAGAAGACACCACAGCCCCTGAAAATAAACATCTCACATTTAACATGATTAACAAAGACCTAAAGACTTCAGCAAAATTAATAGGTGAAAAATGTAAGAGATGATACACACTTGAGTAATTTCATTCAAAATACAATGTGTGAGAATGCACAAGACTGTTGTGCAATTATGTTTCACAAACATTCAGGCACTGATATTCTAGAAAAAAGGAAATGTCTAAATATGTGCATATACAGTATTATACTGAATGAGACATTAAAAGCAAATAAATTAAAGTGCACTCTGTTTTAATTATGTTACCACTAGAGTGTTGAGCACTATCATTGTAAGTGTAACCTGCTGCCATTAGTGTTGAGATTCACCATAACTCTGATGGGTTTCCTTGTAGGATCATTACAGTACATACAGTATGCCTATTTCAATGCTCATGTTTACCTGTCATGCTAATAAGCCCTAAAAAAGGAGACACTGCTGTTCATGGTTCTCAACTTTGACTTTATAGAGGCAAAGTAGAATTAGAAGTTGGTTTAGATGGGTCTGTTTCTAGTATTTATATTCTGTAATTCATGGTGATTTTTTGCTTTAAAACAAATAGATTGTATATAAATACATGTAGTGCCAAAAATAATAAGAAGGAGTTTAATAATACAAATGTAAAATGAATATTAGAGTACAAAGGCTTAATCCCTGCCCAGATGTTCTTTTATTTATGTGTTGTCTCTGAGCTGTGATCATATTGTCTACTTTGAAAGGTGTTACATAAAACTGTTATAAATGAGAAGATACTAATTTAGTTTGCAGTATCTTATTAATCTGCATCCAGCTGTTTCTTGAAGGAAGCCAGGTTATTAGCTTCAACCATATGGTTGGGTAGGTCGTTCCTTACTCATACCCCTTTGAGTAAAAGTGCATCCTGTTCTTGATGAAATTAACTTCAGTGTAGTTTCCATTTGTGTCCTCTGGTGTTTTTCTCTGTTTATTCAGAAGAAGCCCACTGCATTGACAAAGCCTTTGAGGATTTTGAATAATTACATTGGGTTCCCCTGTAATTTTCTCTGTTCAAGCCTAAAAAGGTCTTTCAGCATGTCACCATTTCTGAATGTGTAATAATTCAGCATCTACAAGAGACACAGAATAAATAAACTGTTGATATACAGTATAGTATATACGGTGGTGTGAAAAAGTGTTTGCCCCCTTCCTGATTTCTTATTTTTTTGCATGTTTGTCACACTGAAATGTTTCAGATCATCAAGCAAATTGAAATATTAGACAAAGATAACACAAGTAAACACAAAATGCAGTTTTTAAATGAAGGTTTTTATTAATAAAAAATAATAAAAAGGTGGGATTTGTTTTTCTTAAGGTTGATCATTCAGTACACCTCGGAGCCTGGGCATAAAAAATAATAAAAATCATGCAATTAAATATTTAGACAAAGGTAGATAGGAAAAGGAAACGCATTAGGAACTGAGCCTGAGACACCTGTTCTGGGTTCTAGGTTCTAGGTTGGAGGGGATGTTCTCAAGTCAGCAAATGTCACCATTAGCTGCTACAGCTGTGACCCAGCTGTTAGTCTGCTTAATTGTTTGCTTCATAATCAGAATTATAATTTTGTCTCCAGTTCATACTCCTTACAGCTGTGAAAGTCTCAGGCCACCATTGGAAGCAATATAAGCTGTACAGCTCAAATGTGTGCTTTGCACCAGATTGCAGATTTCTCATAGGAAGGCCTATCCAAGCCTGGACAAACATGTGCCTGTTCACTCTTTTTGGAGTCCTACATGCAGCATGTAATTGCAATTTATCCTGCAAGTGTTAAATGAGGTTCAGTCTGGCAGGTAGCACATCCATGACATAACCTTCAACAACTGTTAACAGCCTTAAACATTCTCACAAGCAGCCTAAGGACATTTGTTGAGCTACTGGAATGTTGTCACATCAGAATGAGTGCTCATGATAGGTAGGAGATGAGGTCCCAGGACTTAATCAGTGTAGCACTGTGCAGTTAGGTTTCCATTGATTGAGCACTGTGCAGTCAGGCTGACCAAACCATTGAACTTGAACCTTCCCGATGTTTATTCTGTTGTACATACAATCTGTATGTTGTTTTGTACATCTGTGACACACTCACTGTCCTTCCTCAACACAAAACCAAGTTTCATTGCTAAAGAGGTTTTGGCTACACTGCTTGCAAGCCCACCTGAAGTGTTGTTCCAACACACCAATGGCACAAAAGTGTT